TTCCCTGCACCCACACCCTCCTTCCTCTCTGCTGTGTTCTCATTGTCACTGGTCTAGAGTTACTTTCTAGCTTTCCCTGAGCAGCGGTGGGAGGGGCTAGAATCTTCCATGAGGGAGGGAACTAGGAGGTCTGGGGGACCCAGGAGCCCAGCCCCTGAAGACTATGGTGGGGTCTCTCCCAGGCCCTTCAGGGGCAGCTGATGGGAAGGCCCATGTGTGCATGGGTTGGGGGGGGCGGGCTCTGGAACAGATCCTGGGTTGAGAGGGGCTGCTGGGGTGGGGGGGATGGCAGGGGATGTGATCAGGAAAGGAGGAGGGGTGTTGGGACACAGAAGGGCCTTCCCTCTGGTCCTGGTGACAGGACTTTATCAAAGGACAAAGGGAGTGACCTGTCGTGATTCCTATTTGGAAAGCTCCCACGATGAAAGGGGGCTGGTGGGGCTCAGAGTGGAGGTGGGGTTCCAGGATCCCGGCTCAGGAGGGGGCACGAGACACTGGAGCCTCAGTCTGAAGCTCCCTGGCAGGTGGCCCCTTCATCTGCCCTTGAGATTTGGGTCCCCCCGGCGGGGATGGGGGTGGGCAGGCTTCAAGTGTGCTGCCCAGACAAGCCTGACTTTGAGCAAGGCCAGCCTGGTTCTAGCCACGCGAGTGCATCCTGAATGGCCAAGGAATCCCTACATTTCCTGGGAGCATTCTTGGGAGCAGGGACCCGATCAACTCCTGTGCCACAGCCAGAAGGGCCTCTCCTTGGAAGGGGGAGAGCCAGGGAGTCCTTGAGGGACCCCGGGTGGGGTGGGGTTTGGGCAGAGGCCCGTGAGAGAGGCTCAGGCCAGCAGCGGCCAGCTCTCCCCAGTGTGTGCTAGGGTGGGGAGGGAGAGCCCTCCCGGCAGAGATCTCCAGGGACCCGGGAGAGGAGGTACACACAGGGTCAGCCCAGCAGGTGGGCCGGGGAGCCCCGGTGGGTATCAGGGCCCAGCCTCCCTCGCTGCAGAGATGGGGGCACACCCCGGGGCACGTGCCCCTGGAGCCTGAGGCATTCCGGACTGGGACCTGCTTGTCAAGGCCTGGAGGGGGCACTGGGCAGGGACTCTTCCTGACAGCATCCCCAGCACTGCAGAGGCCCCAGGCCCCCTGCTCCGTCCCTGCTCCTGCGGGTGCGGAGGAACCCGTGTTCCTAGGACCCAGTGCCACACTGGGGCATGGAGGGGGTGATGCCTGTCTCCAGGTGCCGCCCAGAGGGACTCGCGTGTCCAGGCGCAGTGCGCTCGGGCTGGGTCAGGGCCGCCGCGCAGTGACCCGTGTCCCGCCCCACCTCGCGCGGGGGACGTGGCGGCGCCTCCCTCCGCCTCCCTCCGGAGGGCGGTCAGGGACACGCTCCACGGGCTGCAGGATCGCGGTGCCCAGGGGACCCGGGGCCGCCTCCGCGCCCGGCTGCGCCCCCGCCCGGCCCCCTCCTGCCCCGGGCCCCCCTCCCCGCCCGGCCCGGGAGCGCGGGCAGCTCGGCGGCGGGGGGAGCCGGGGCGGGCGCTGTCGGGGCAGGCGGGGCGCGGCTCCGGTCCCCTCCGCCCTCCAGGCCGCAGGTCGCGGCCCATCCGAGGACGGAGGCCCCGGGGCCCCGGCGTCTGCCTTCCGCGCCGCGTCTGCCCCGGCGGGGGCGCCTCATCCGCGGGGCGCGGCGCGGGCTGCAGGGGGCCCCGCGGGAGGGCTGGGGGACCCCGGGGCCCGCACCAGGGCCCCCTGGCCCGCCCCACCCCTGCGGCCTCGCCCGGGCTCCCCCTGCAGTGCTCCCTCCGAGGCTGGCAGGTGCCCGCGGCTCTGGGGAATCCGCGTGCGGGTGCCCCCCCCTTCCCCGGACCCCTGAAGGCCCCTGGGCCCGGGTCCTGCGGGCTCGCCGCCCTCCCACCTGCGGGCTCTCCCCTCGGAGCGGGCCCGCCGGGCTCCCCGGGAGCAGTGGGGGGAGCCCCCGGGGCCACCGAGGGGACGGCGGGCGGGGGGTCCGGAGAGCAAGCCGCCCCGCGCGGTCACTGCTCCCAGGGGCGCGTCCCGGGGTGGCTCCGCAGCACGCTTGCTGGGGGCTGGCTGCAGTGACCCGAGCTGACAGGCTGTGGGTACGCGGGGGTGGCCGCGAGACAGCCTTGCCGCCCGACCCCGCCCGGGGTGCCCAGGTGCCCTGGCCCCTGAGGGAGCGCAGGGGAGCCCCGCCTTCCAGCCGGGCTCCCCGGAGGCCGCAGCTGCTCGCCCATGCCCTCTGTTAGAATCGAGTCCCCGAGTCCCGGGAGACGGAGACGGCCAAGGGGGGCCCCGTGGGGAGGGTGCAGGTGTGCAGCTGGAGCCTGATGTCGGGGCGGCGGTCAGGAGGGCGGCTTGGTGAGCGGCCTCAGCGCCCAGCGGCCGGCAGCTGCCACCCCAGGGCCACCGGCTGAAGCCACAGCAGTATGTTGCCCTCACCCTGGTACCTTCAGGATTCTGCAAAAGCCAGTATTTTTTATTTAGTATCACATTTTTTCTCATGTCATTCATCTATTTTTTGTGTTTTAATATTAGTTCTTTTATGTGTTTTATCTACTAATCATGCTGCCTGAAAATGAGAGGGTTTATCAGCTCTGCTCATCATGGTTTATTCCTCATCTTTTCAGTACCTTTGGACCATGAGTTTGATCTGAGAGGAGGACAGGTAGCCTGAATGGATCCTTCTAGAGAAACTGCCATTTACTGCTGGTGGCATCCTCAAGGAACTACCAATCAGGCCATTTAATGTTCATTTTTCAGGTTGCTCTTTCCAGGACCCCAAGGGGATGTTCACTTTAAATCCAAACCTCCCTAAGGACCAGACCCTTGTACTAATCTTAGGGAAGATCTTTTCTTTTTGTCCTAGCTCAGGTACTGGGTGGGACAATTTCTTTCTCATCTCCTTTTGCTAACAGTTGGAAAACTCTCAAAATCACTCATTCACTGAGGATATGGCCCTTCTGGTATGCACAGTTCGTGTGGGGGCCTAGGCCTAACTGGGAAATTATACAGGCTCCAAGTCTTGTCTTCTATCTCCATGACACCCCAAAGCCTTGATGACCAAGACTGTGACTCTCCAGGGTGGCTGCCTGCCTTAGCCTCAGCTGGCAATTTGGTTTTCAGAAAGCAGCTTCTCTGTTTGGGGCTTTCCCTTTTTTCCAACACTGTAGTAATGCCAGAAATCGTTTCGTGATGATTCATTCAGAATTTCTAGTCTTCATTTTTCCCAGTTTATCTAACCTACCTGATGGCAGAAAGGGAGGGATCCCTGGGCTTTGCGATGACCGCATCCGCATTTGTCCACATTCATACTGGTTGGCAGAGACCGCCTGCATGTTTGCAGCATTTCCATTAGTTTTCAGAGGGTCCATTGTTTGCCACCCCCCACTTCCGCCCCCCTGGAGGTTTGCACAGTTGTTCTCCGCAGATGCCAGTGGCAGCTGCTTCTTCCCCAGGAATGCTGTTCCTCCTCTGTGCCTAGAGGTACTGGGATCCCAGTTCCTCCCAACTGAGTAGAGACCTGGAGGTCAGAGAGAGTCTCTTTGGCCTAGAGCTGAAGGCTCAGAGGGTAAAAGTCTCCTTAGCACTACAGGCTGAGATAATGAGACAGGCCAGAAGCCTGGGGGGTGAGGGACACAGTGAATATGGTGTGAGGTATGCTCCTGCAGTTCCTTGCCAGAAACCTCAAGGGCTGAGGCTCCCACTGGAGATGGACAGTGGATATACTGGTTTGCCTACCACTGGGCAGGTGAGTCCAAATGGAGGATTAAGGATTAGGAGGCTCTGTAGTGCTGCCCTCTAAAGCCATCTGCTCCAACACAGGCAACCGTGATAAGGTAATAATTGTATTTACATGTTCTTGAGTCCCTTTGCCAGATCCCTCAATTGTTCAGGTCTTGGGTAGGACTGCTGGTGTCATCGACTGGGCTCTCTCACACCCCTACATTAACCACTATCCTATACTATGCTATGCAGCCTTTTGGAGACAGCCAGGCTCAACGAGCAACTAGCAAATTTATTTCGTCACTATACTGAAAAAGGAATATACTGGGATAACTTAAGGTCTAATTCAGAAAGTCAACAAATACGATTAGTTCTGCTAGGATGCATCATACTGTTTCATAAAATTCGGGGTGCTTGCAAAGTTGCACAATAAAAACCACCTCTCTCATAGGGCAAACGGAGCTGGGGCAGGACACTCAAAATATTTCATCAGAGACATACTAAAAATAGGAACCTAAGACAAAGGGTAGCACACTTCTATAGGTGATAGTTTTAAAAAATACATTAATACCGTAATAAATGCAGCCCTTTATCTAAAAGGCCTGAAGCTTGCTTACAGCACAAACACGGGGGTGGGGTGGGGGTCACAGCTCGTGAGACACTGTGAGGTGATGGGAGAGAGCCTGCAGTGCAGCAGTCATGAGGTGCCTGGGAAGCTCGCGCGCGTGCGTGTGTGTGTGTGTGTGTGTGTGTGCATCCCCCACACACTTCAGTCCAGCTGATGCGGTTCTCTGTGTTTACCTTGTAAAGAAAGTCACACAAAATGCAAAATTCACATTATGCTCAAATGGTTCCATTATTCTTCAGTTGTGCTGGAAAAAATTCAGGTTTCCAACGGAGCATTCCAGCAGAGCTGTAGTTGCGGCGCGTCAGGCACACGGAGGCCCAGCCCTGAGCCTGTCTCTGCCCTCCTGGGAGTTACGCTGTGCAGAGGGAGACGATGAGCAAACAATTTCATATAGTTCCATAGGTGCCCCTCGTTCACATATTGCAAACTCACCCCCAGAGTGATGGTATCAGGTGGGGCCTTTGGGAGTGATAAGGCGAACCGCGTCTTTAGGAAGGACACTCCGAGAGCTCCTGTGCCCTTTCTGCCATGTGAGGACACAGCGAAACAACAGTTGTCTGTGAACCAGGAAGCAGGCCCTCACCAAGCTCTGAATCTGCCAGCACCTTGACCTTGGACTTCCTAGCTTCCAGAAGAAAGAGATAAATGTATTTTGTTTAAGCTCCCCAGTCTATGAGGCAGCAGGACAGTAAAGGATGGATTTGCGGTGGGTGGCACGGCGTAGCTTCCTGGGGGGCTGCTAGCAGAGTCCCACAGCCTAGGGGCGTAACTGGGACTCTACTGCGTCACAGTTCTGGAGGCCACAAGTCCCAGATCAAGGTGTCAGCAGGTTGGGTCCTTCTGTGGGCTGGGATGGAGCACCTGTTCCAGGACCCTCAGCCTTGGCTTCTGGGTTGCCAACATCTTTTTCACTGTCTAGCTTGTGGAAAGACCAGACTGATCTCTGACTTTATCTTCACATGGCATTCTCTCTCTGTGTATGCCTGTGTCCAAATTACCCCCTTTATTTAAAAAAATATATATTTTATTTATTTAGAGGCAGCATGAGTAGGGGAGGGGCAGAGGAAGAGGGAGAGGGAGAATTTTCAGCAGACACTCCTCGGAGCCCGGAGCCCAGAGTCTGACACAGGGCTCCAAATCACAGCCCTGAGATCATGACCTGAGCCGAAATCAAGTGCCAGAAGCTTCACTGACTGGGCCACCCAGGTGCCCCCAAATTACCACTTTTATAAGGACACAAGTTATATTGGATTAGGGGCTACCCTCCTCCAGTGGAACCTCAGCGTAACCAATTATATCTGCAACAACCCTATTTCCAAATAAGGTCCCATTCCAAGGTAGAGGGCTAGAAGTTCAACAAATGAATATAATTCCACCTTTAACGGTTGGTAAGGAAAAACACTTTTAAGTGACATTTGGGCAAAAGACCTAAATAAAACAAGGGAGTGAGCCACGTGGACGTCAGAGGAACAACATTCCAGGAGGAGTGCTTCACAGCTAATGTGAAGGTTGCGTGATGAAACACAGGCTGGCATGTTGAAGAAGCACTCAGGATCAGAATTAAAGGAGAAAAAAAAAACTATAAATGTATTGGAGACCAAGAAATCCCAGCAGACATTCCCAATACAAACTCTAAGGTATAAATAGATCAAAATTTTCTATTACGGTGAAGGATACCAGTTCGAGAACAAAAAGACACATCCTATTAGGGGTGCAAAGGCTTTTCTGTTCATCAGCAATGCAGAGGGATACCAGCTGTTACCTCCGGGGTTCAACGTCGATGTTTCTGGAGTCTAGCTAAAGCAATAAGAAAAGGAAATAAGCGATGTACTCATCACTGCAGATAATAGGCTCCTAAGCCGCCCTTCCCAAATGAGGCATTTCCAAACTATTAGGATGGAGTTGGCTGTCCTTTATGCCCTGTCCTGGTCTGCTCTGGGTCCACCGGCTTGCTGGCTGCGCAGGCCACCCCTGGACTCAGCTGCTCTGTGCACCCCCTGCCCTCCACTCGCAGCTCTCTGCTGCTGCTTGTGATGCTTCTGGAGCTCAACCTAGCTGGCACGTGAGTATGCCTAGGAGAGGGAGTTTGCAGGCAACCCTGGAGCAGTGAGGAATGGGTGCCAGGGGGCACCCGCGCCCCTCGCTACCGTGCACCGGTGGACGACGCTGAGGTGCGTGGCACACTGTTCCTGAGAGGTCACCTACAGCAGTGATAAGACAAAGATGCACCCTGGCTTGGATCTCCCCGCTTCCCTGTTTTTCCCTTCCAGGGTCCCCATTCCTCCGAGAACACTTCCAAAAATAAACCATTTGCCCACAAGACCATGTCCCATGTTATGGATTCTGCTTTTGGAAAGAACCTGAATTAAGAGAAGTGACCCCAAGAAGCAGACCTTCAGGGTGGGATTCTAAGGTGGATCCATGCCCTTCAGACCCCATTGTAAGGACCTTATTGCTGGTGGTGAGCCAACTGGTGGTGACCCTTGCCTGTGGCATGGTGGCTCACCAGGGGCCAGCTTACGATGTGGTACAGGTGGAAGGGGAAACATGGGTTCATGTGCTACAGGGGGATGAGCTGACTTTTGTTAATGGCTCTAAAAATACGAATGATAGACTCAGATTAGCCAACTATCAATGTAAGATATTCTTTTTATTCTTTAAAACAGATTTTATTTATTTGTTCATGAGACAGAGAGAGAGAGAGAGGCAGAGACACGCAGAGGGAGAAGCAGGCTCCCTGTGGGGACCCCGATGAGGGACACTATCCCAGGACCCCGGGATCATGAGCTGAGCCAAAGGCAGACACTCAACCACTGAGCCACTCAGGAGCCCCAATTTAAGATATTCTATGGAAGTCTGACACTTGCTGGTGACACTGGAGCCCCCCATCTCCTGCAGGCACAGGGGATCTGATGGTGAAAACCAAGCCAGATGTTGTTCCTTCTCTCTCCAGTCATGTTTAATCTACTGTTTAACCTATCAATGAATGTTTTATGTTAATTAAAATAGTAAATTATCATATTTTCTATTTCCAGAAGGTTTTTTTTTTCTTTTGGAGAAACTCTTTCAAATTACTTAACCATACTCTATAGTCTCTTATTCCTCGCTCGAAATTTTAAGCTTCTTTTTTATTTCCTGAAAAACGTGAAACATAATTATACATCTGATAATGCCATTGCCTGCTGTTTTCTGGACATGGTTTTATTGCCTGTGTTTCCAACACCTCTCAACTCAGAGTGTTTTTTACCTCGTGTGTTTTGCAACTTTTCAGCAATGAATCGCCTATATTCCCTCAACGGTTATCTGTGGGATATTGTTGAAATGTGGCTGGACTGTCTCTCTCTGTGTGTCTCTCATGAATAAATAAATAAAATCTTAAAAAAAAAAAAAAGAAAGAAATGTGGCTGGAACTCGCATTCCCCCAGGGAATATTTGCAGTTATCCTTTTTATTTTTTTATTTCTATTTTTTTCAGTTATCCTTTTTAAAAATGCATTTTTACTTTTGTTACTTTGCAGTCAGAATGTCTCATGAGATTTCTCTATTTAGAAATTAGAAATCACGGGGTACCTGGATGGCTCAGTCAGTGAAGCATTCAGCTCAGGTCATGATCCTGAGGTCCTGGGATTGACCCCCACATTGGGCTCCCTGGTCAGCAGGGAGCCTGCTTCTCCCTCTGCTCTTGCTCTCTCTCACATGTTCGGTCTCTCAAATGAATAAAAATCTTAAAAAAAAATAGAAATCAAGTTGTCTGTTGTGTTCCATGTATAACTAATACAGGTTAAGGATGCTCTGTGCACTGTTTACAGAAAAGCATGTTCTGTGACCACAAACACCAACGTGAAAGACGAATCCTGTTGTCACTTAAACTTCAAGCTCAGTCAGTGCTGGGGCCCTGTCCCCCAGCAGGGCTGCACCAGAATGACCGGTCAGGGTCAGTGGCGCCCCCACATAGGGAAAGTGTAGAACCTCCACTTTCAGCCCCGCCTGAAGGTCCCCCTGAAGTCCTAAGGCTCAGCTTGTGCCTCAGGCATAAGGTGGGTGGAGTTGACTCTGTAGATCCCAGGACTTTCTACTCAGCCCCGGCTGCCCCACACCCAGCCTTCTCCTCTGAGATCAAGAAATAGCTAGAAGCTTGTGTAGTTGTAGAGTAGAAGGCAGAGAGAGAGAGAGAGAGAGAGAGAGGTGGCAGTGGGTCAGATCCGGAGAGTCCTCTACAACAGGGTGACCCCAAAGCCCTGTTGCCAGGGACTTACTGGTGGGTGGAGGGGTGCACACTTTCATTTTGAAAAATGTCCCGTTTGGGGTGGTGAGTTGTGTTCTGCTCTTAGGTCTGGAGGGCATGATGGAAAGCCAGGGAAGGTCGGAGCCAGGGAGTAGAGTGTGATTTACATTTTACGAAGTTCATCTGGGCCTTGCTCAACGACCAAGGGGCCTGGGGAGGGGGGCAGCGTAAAAGGGGGGCCGCGCGGTACCCCAGGCACAGACGCGGGCCAGGAGGCCCTCGGGCCCTCGGTCTGGAGCTCGCTCGCAAGCCCCTCCTTCTCTGGGGTCCTCCCTGTCTGGAGAGGGGCCCCCGCCTGCGCCGGGCCTGACCCAAACCGAGGCCAGCCTGGCTTCCTGCCGCGGGGCCGCCTTTGGGATGGTGGAGAAATCCCTGCAGTTCCCGGGTAGACGTGGAAGGGATCAGGTTACCTTCTGGTCTCGCGGAGAGAAGGGGCTCTTCTTGGAAGGGGGGGCGCAGAGGGCAGGGGCTGTCGGGGGAGCCCCGGCGGGTCGCCCGTGGGGCGGGGGGGAGCGCGCGGGGCCCGGCTGCCGGGGGACCCTCCGGGAGCGAGGGCCGGGGAAGGGGGAGGCCCGGGCCGGGGAGCGGCTGCGGGGGGCGGCGCCAGCACGCCCGGGGCCGGGGCGGGGCGGACGCCCGGGTGGAGAGCGGGGCGGAGGGCGCGCGGGGCCCACCCCCCGGCCCCCCCCGCCCCGCGCGCCCCTCCCCTCCTCCCGCCCCTTCCCCGCGCCCCTCCCCCGGCCCCCGCCTCCGCGCGCCATTCCTCGGCGTCCTCCGGCCGCGCGCCCCGCCAGCCGCGTCTCGGCCATGGCGGGCCCGGGGCCGCGACCCGCCAAGGGCTACCGGGTGGTGCTGCTCGGGAGCGTGGCCGTGGGCAAGACGGCGCTGGCCACGCAGTTCGCGTGCGGCAGCTTCCCCGAGCAGTGCGAGCCGTCGGTGGAGGAGCTGTTCAGCAAGGTGATCGAGGTGAACGCGGCGCCCGCGCTGCTGGAGATCGTGGACACGGTGGGCGCCGAGCACCTGGTCACGCTCAAGGACCTGTACATCAAGAACAGCGACGGCTTCGTGGTGCTCTACAGCGTGTGCAGCGAGGCCTCGTTCGAGGCGGTGCGGCCGCTGCGGGAGCGCATGGGCCGCCTGCGGGGCCCCAAGGCCGTGCCGCTCGTGCTGGTGGGCACCAAGGCCGACCTGGACGCCGAGCGCCAGGTGCTGACGGCGCGGGGCCGCGCGCTGGCCCGCGAGTGGCGGTGCCCGTTCCTGGAGGTCACGGCCAAGAGCAAACTGATGGTGGACCAGGTGTTCACGCAGGTGGTGCGCGAGATGGAGGCGCTGGCCCCGCCCGAGGAGGAGGCCCCGGCCGCCCCCCCCAACGCCCAGGATACGTGGCCGTCCGAAAGGTTCATCGGCTAAGGCGCCGCGGCTCCTGGTCGGCACGTCCGCGCCCTCCTGGTTTCTGACGCTCAGCCTGCCTGCCCCGCTTCGTGCAGAAAGTCCTGCGGCCGGAGACGCGTGGCTGCTTCCGCGTCGCAGCTGCGGCCCGCGCTTCGGACTGTTTGCAGAGCCTCTTAAGTGCCGGGCGAAAACCTGGCCCCTCGGCTTCCCCCGTACGGCGCTATAGGACGCCCCCAGGCGAGATCTGACTCCTGCGTGGAGACCGCACCACCCTTTTCTCCAAATGGGACCTGTCCCGGGACCCCCTGCTCCCCCGTGTGATAAGGAATGCTTTCATGCAGGTGTCATCCGGCCTCTGAAGGGGGTTGGGGACCCCGAACTAAAGACTCTGAGCTTCGGATCCCATGAGGTTTTGGTGTGTTTCCCTGTGCTTTGCAGCCTCGAAGTGAGCAGTCATATTTTCCCCTCTGCGTACTTCTAAATATAGTTATGACACACGCAGCGTTGGTTTGAAAGGGATATTGTATACCCTGGGAGGGAGGCCCCGACTGCTCCCGCAGAGGTCGCCCAGCCCGGCCTCCCCTCTCTAACTGACATCCAGGCGACTATGCATCTGTAAATTGAGTGAAAATAAAGTGATTTGAAAAGGTGGTGGTTTGACATGCTCGTCTTTCTGCGGCGTAGGGCTGCAGCTCCGAGGGTTTGCAGGCGCCGTCTCTGCTCTCTAGTTACTTGACCCGAGGGGAAAGGGCCGCGTCTGGTGTGTGTTTCTGGTTCCCAGAGTAGGATATTTTGCTGATACCTGCGTGGTTCGCAGGGACATGGGGACCGAAGTAGAAGCCAACCGTGGGAGAAGCCCTTGGCATAGTTTTCACATAACAAGGCCAGAAACTTCAGATCACCATTGTTTCATGATTTTAAGAAATGTCTCCGATAGGAGTTGCGCGGGCCTATTTTCACCAGTAAACGATTCTGTCTCACCCGCTACAACAAATCTTTCAAATTTAGGAACGTAGCCTTGCCGCTTAGATACCTTCTGCAAGAAATAAGCAAGGAAAGAATTTAAAGAAATAAACAAGAGGGCAGCCCGGGTGGCTCAGCGGTTTAGCGCCTGCCTTTAGCCCAGGGCCTGATCCTGGAGACCCGAGATCGAGTCCCACATCGGGCTCCCTGCATGGAGCCTGCTTCTCCCTCTGCCTCTCTCTCTCTCTGTGTTTCTCATGAATAAATAAAATCTTAAAAAATTTTTTTAAATAAATAAATAAATAAATAAATAAATAAATATATAAATAAATAAATAAAAAGAACACTACAAACTATGCCCATGATTGGGAAAAGTTCATTTTGTTACAGGAAAATTATATGTAAAGTGACAGTTATGTGGCTCTGGGAGTCTAATTTATACCGTATATGATGTGTGAACAGAAGGTGGATTTTATTTTAACATAAAAAGTATAGGGGGATCCCTGGGTGGCGCAGCGGTTTGGCGCCTGCCTTTGGCCCAGGGCGCGATCCTGGAGACTCGGGATCGAATCCCACGTCGGGCTCCCTGTGCATGGAGCCTGCTTCTCCCTCTGCCTGTGTCTCTGCCTCTCTCTCTCTCTGTAGCTATCATAAAAAAAAAAAAAGTATATATGTATTTTAGAACCTGACAGTGCCTGGCCTGGGCCAGTTCACCAGGGGAGAGGGCTAGGCTGGGGGTCTCCTGTCTTTTCTCTTTTCCTCTCTCCCTGGGACTTTGCGGGGAGGGGGTGTTGGGAACTTACCTTTGGAGCCTTTAAGTCCATCTCACTCCCTCCCTCCTCTGACCCTCTGTGTTCTGCGGTCACTCCTCCCAGCAGTGTTTCCTCACACCCCCTTCCAGGACCATCTCTAAGGGGACATTTCCAACACATGGAGAAGGGGAGGGGGGCCTGCCGGCGCTTGGGGGTAGGGAGGACCTTCCTGGCCTCAGCTGCCTTTGTCTGCTGGAACAGGCAAAAACCCAAGACTGTTCCTGGACGAGGCTTTGGACTGTACAGAGAAAGCACGCAGGGCGTGAGCAGCATCCCATTCTCAGCCATGAAGCTGGGCCCCGAGGACTGCAAGTTGAGGGACTCCCCTGGCCCTGCCTGGCCTGCCTTTCTGACGCTCCACCTACCCACACTGAGGCCTCCTGGGATGTCTTGTGTCCCTGGATTCCTGTGCCTTTCGATAATAGGTTCAGTCCAGGAAAAAAATCACAAGTAGACATTGCTTCCTTTAGATTCTTCGGGCCACCTCAAGTCTTTCCACTCGGATCTATGATTTGGTTCAGAGCCAGGGTGTTCCTGGCTGACCTGTCAACGTGACAAATGGTCAGGCTCACGTGACCTCACGGATATACTTGAAGCAGTTCTCTGGGTGTGTATGCATGCACACACACGCACACACACACGTAAAATTCAAGACCTACACACTAAATTTTCTTCCTCTTCCTACAGATCTTCTAACTTAGGTATGTTACACACCAGTTGCCTGTAGTTCCTCTGAGTCAGGAGCGGCCCAGATAACTAAAGTGGATTTACAAGCAGCAAATGTCTCTGTTCGTTGGGTCAGGGTGCTGCGGTGCCTGGAAGTACTGTGCCCAGGGGGACCCAGCACATGGTGGGCTACCTCGTGAGCTTGCAGATGGCATTACGGGTGGCATTACGGGCTCAAGCCGTTCGTGGCTGGGCGCTGGGCTCTGTGCGCGCTCAGCATCGCCAGGGAATGTGAGCCGGTTTCCAAAGTGGTTGTAACCATCACAAACCCACATGCCTCTGATGCTCCAAATGCTCCACAGCTCAGAGTATGTGCAGATTCTTTTCTTGCCAAGGTGTTGTGGTTTCCATTTGTACTTTTCAGACTGCTGGTGATGTTGAGAATTCTTTCGGAGGGTTTCATGGCATTTGATTTCCTCTTCAGTGAGATGCCTGGTTCTTTTGTCAGCTTTTAAAATTGGGTGATCTATCCTTTTCTTCTCGGTTCTTGGAGGTTTTACTCAATCTGTGTGGTGGACACCCTCTGAGATGCATCCAGTGACACCCCTCCTGGCACTCCTGCCCTGGGGGCTCCCTCTCCTGGAGGGTGGACAGGACCTAGTGATTCTCTTCTATGGAATATAACAGGACAACAGCCTGGATGTCACTTCTGAGGTTAATCACTAAGCCCCCTGTCCTGATCAGCCTCTCTCAGAGCCCTTGTTCTATGAAAGGCCAGCTGGGTCCCACCCAGCAGCTGGCAGGGACCTGAGACTCCAGGGTGGAAGGGGGATCCTTTCCTTGATGAGCCTTGAGATGAGGGCAGCCCCTACCCACCCTCACCAAAGCCTGTGAGGGTACCTGAGCAGAGGCCCCAACTGAGCCCCCGAGTTGCCTGACCTACAGACACTAGGAGACGGAGAACATTTATTGTTTTACACCAATAAGTTTTAAGGTAATTTGTTATACAGCAACAGATACTACTACAGCGTCCTGGTGCCTGGGGTGGGGCACTGACAGGAAAATACGAAAAATGCCAGAGTGGCTTTAGATCGGACTGTGGGCAGAGCCAGGTGGGCTTCGGGGGAGTGTTAGGTGAGCACTGAAGCATCCTGGACAGGCCATTAGTGGACATTGGGGCTTTGAGGACACCACCAGGGAGAGTGCACAGGAAGTGAGGAACAGGAGGCAGAAGCGTGGCCACCTTGTCTTCCTGTGGCCTGCAGTGGGAGAAGACAGGCAGATTGAGGGAGCTGGGAAACAAAAATGAACCGGTGCTTGGTAGTTTTGAAAATTCACAGTTTCTCCAAGTGGCAAAAGATGCTAAAATTAAGAAATGACTTCCCAGGGGCTGTCAAATCCAGCAGAACTGGATTGGAATTGGAAATGAATCCAAGGCTGTGACTGTAAAGTTTTTTATCGAAGCCTCAGAAAGAGCAAAGGTGATACTCAGAGCACTATTCAGTAGCATGATGAGCCCATTACATAGATGAAGGTGCACCCCACAAATCATCTCCCCCAGAGACGGGGACTCCAGGAGGCCCCTATGTCGCCCCTCAGCCCTCCCAGGAGCCCCAGCTGGAGTGGGACTCACTCAAAGACCTTCGTGGTTGTGCCCTTTC